TGTCACCAAGACAGTAAGGGGAAGTATTTTCAGAGCCCTTGACAGCAGTAAAACCTGACAAGGGTTCTAATCCTTTCCCTGTGTCCATGTTTGGGCTAGATACCCTTTAAAATGTGATAAGCACCAACTAGGGAGCAGCCAACAGCAAAAGTTAACCCTAAGCTGCAGGTTGCTCCCAAGCCATGGGTTGGAGATCAAAACAAGCCTCGTCAATGTTAGAAACATGAGCAGTAAAAAAAAAAGGCAATTTTCTGATCATCTCATTGTTCACTTCTATGGAGGAGCCTTGCATGTGTAGGAAGTGTGATCAGTCACAAGACTTAAGTCATTTGTGTAGCATTCATAAAAGACACACACAAACATCCACACTCAATTAACAGTTTTTGACTTTACACGCATATTTAGCTGGCCATACACTGTGCAAATTCATTCAGTGCGTGGCCCTGTCAGCACCCTCCCAGCTGGCATCCTTTGTTTAGAAAATGGAAGGAGCCAGTTGCAAAATTTTCAGGTGTACGGTGACAGCAGCCAATTGTTCCGGTATTCTGACAACAGCACATCTACCTCTGTCAGAATACAACAGCAGGGTGGGAGATTCCTCCATCCATGCTGTTTAGCGTGGATGAAGGAATTTTATATATATATTTTTTTTTTTTTTTCTTTCGCCTGCAGGTTAACCAAACAGATCTCTCTCTACCTCCCTCCCTCGTACGGCCAGTTTTAGGCAATCCCCTCTTTGATATTCCTGATCAAAACAGCCATAGAAGGCAGAGGGACCGTTTGGGGTACTGGGGAATGTAGCTAAACTGCTGCCCTTTCATTAGTTAATGGTGCCTCTTCTGTATGCATACCTAAAATATAAAGAGTGTAAATTCTGGCCGGACTCTTCAGTTACCCTAAAGGAGTATTGCCAGAGTTTCTTCTGCAAAGCAGTGGTTGCACAGATTGAGCCAAGAACATCATGGATTATGACTGTTCTGGGGACCTGCCTCCCTTGCTTTCCAAAACACACACATTGTATTGCAGTTTTGGCATATTTTTTTAAAAAGCAGCCATGAATAAGTGACAATGACTTTTATAACACTACAGGTGATGAGAAGGAGGTGGTCACAGGAGGCAAATCTGAATGGAAGCAGCCAAAACTACAAAAACACAAATTGATCTTGTGTGTTCAACTTCATCCTAAAATGAGATTTCTGCCACTTATGTGCAGCAGCACTTTTCTACCATGGAAGATAATGAATGCTGGAGTTTGGACTGATACCCTTTATTACCTAACAAGTCATTGAAGTTCCAAGCTTTCAATACAAACCAGGTTTCTTCACCAGATATTATACACTGGCACAATAACTGATGTAAAAACATGTGTAGAATGCCTGATAAAGAAACCCAAAAGTGTGTTTTAAAAGCTCACGTCATTACCGACTTTGGGAAAGCAACATTCATGCACTTTGGTTTGAAAACTTTTGGCATAAACCTTGACTTCCCCTTTTAACTACAATTACCAATTAGGCTACAAGAAAATGTCTATTTTATGTTTTTATACAAAGCTGACTGATTACGCTTCAATCCCTGCCCCAAAACGTTTACAACCTTTATATAATCACACGCAAACACAGCAGGACAAGTCTAAATTAAAGCCGTTGAACAGGTTTGCTTTAAGGGACATAAAACACACTCAGTGTCCTTGGTGGGAATCAAGAGATACCTCCCCACTAAATGGCTGGCACTAGAAAGCACTTACTCAGCAGGACTACAGACTGAAGGAGAAAAATGACACTGCATCAGTTTCATCCTTGGAGACCTTGTTGCCCAATCAGCATGCCATACTGCTGCATTTCCCTTCCTGCCTTGATTCAGTCAATGTGAAGCATTTAAAGAGACATGAAACTCAGGGGTTAAATCCTAAAAATACATTCAAGTACCTTAACTATTAACAATACTGGATCTTATTTGTGTATCACTCAGCTGTAGATCCTCAAATCATCTCTGAATTTGTGTCCTTCCTTCTGGAGGATGGCTACTTTTGTCCCCCATGGTCCCTGTGTGTGTTGTAAAGTAGTCACCACTCCCAAGCTAATCAAAATTATTATTACGATTATACAGGATTTATATAGCGCCAACAGTTTGTGTTTGGCTAAATGCCGAAAGTGCCATTTTCCTGCCGATACATCGGCGCATCCGTGCTTACTTTCCTCTCCGCTGGGCGCTGCTCTGTGTACCAGCGGGGAGGAGAGAAAGTGACAGCCATTCGAGCGCTGCGAGAGGAGAGCACTGTGAGCAGCCGGTGTCTCTCCTCCCACACCGCTCAGCCACCTATCACAGTCCGGCAGAGCGGTGTGGGGGAGGAGACAGGTGGCACTGTCACAGGAGGCGGAGCTCTCCTCCCTGCTCGCTCAGCCTCCTGTGACAGCGTGTCAGAGAGGAGAGCGGGTACAAGCAGTCAGTGATCGCTGAGTGTTTGTAGATAATTGAGGACATGGTATGTTTACTATATCCTCAATTATGAATGAATGGGAAGTGATCTACATCACCTCCTGTTTATTCATGATTGTAGTTATAGTAAAGATACTATGCCCTCATGTTATAAATGAACAGGAACACTCAGTATAGAGGATTCCTGTTCAATTATAACAGGGGATACAAGAGATGTGTTCTCAATCTCTTTTTCTACTTTAAAAAAGGGATATATCAGGGGTCTGTTTATACCCCTAATATTTCCCTGAAGCCCCTAAAAGTAAAGTAACAAATACAAATATTTAATAAAGAATTTGATAAAAATAAATATAAAAACTTTGTTTAAAAGTTTATAAAAAATGAACATACAATGCCATTATAGAACATAGAATAAAACATAGATAAACTTAAATGTTCTATAATGGCATTGTAGTACTTTCAGGTGGACAGTAAATAATACAGCTTCATAACATAGCTAGGGAACTACAAGTCCCAGCATGCCCTCATTGCCCCTGTACAACAACCAAATATTGCAGTTCCCTGGGCGATGTGTGTGTGTGTGTGGGGGGGTGTACAGGGACAATGATGGCATGCTTGAACTTGTAGTTCCTTAGCTGATATATATGTGTG